TCTTCTTCTTCTTCTTCTTCTTCTTCTTCTTCTTCTTCTTCTTCTTCTTCTTCAACTTCTACTTCTTTTTCTTCTCCTCCTCCTCCCAACTTTCTTTTTTCACCTTCGTTCTCCTCCTCTTATTCTTCCACCCCAACTCCTCGTTTCCCTTCTCCTTTTCCTTCTCCTTCTCCTTTTCCTTCTCCTTCTGTCTACAAATCTCAACCTTTTTTTCAACCCTTTCAATTTGCCCTGGTCTGTCAAGTCTGCGTGTGTACATGGATGTGCATCATGTCTACTTGTGCGTGTCCCCAGACTCCAAAAACCAGCGGCTCGTGGAGCAGCCAGCAGACCTTCTCGGAGTACGACATAACAGGCCTAGAGGACCTGACCGGACTTGACAGCCCCGCCCTCCCCTCCAGCCCCGCCCCCCGGCTCCCACTTTCTCCCGCCCCCCTCCCGTCGACGGTACTGAACGGCGTCCCGCTCCTCATCGCAGTCACTTCGGAGGACGAGGGCGACAGTGCCATCAGTGGCAAGTCTTCCGAGATCAACGAGAACAGGTCAGTCGGGCGGCTTGTGGTGGTCAGTGAGTGGGGCAGTTGTGGTCAGTATGGTGGGGCAGTAAATGGGACAGTTGTGGTCAGTATGGTGAACAAAATTGGTTTATAATGGTTTAAGCGCCTCTATCAACACTATTAGATTATTTAAGAGGCAGGACCCCTGAGTTTAACTTTCATCTCTGAAAGGGCCGAGCCAAATAGGAACTTCGTGCGAAGTGCCTTTCCCAAGGACACAATGTCAGGCCGAGCTGAAGCTCGAAACTGGGAACCCGCAATCTCATGATTCCGAGACCGGTAGCCTAACCACTAGGCCACCAACACCACGGTCAGTATGGGGGTCATTGATTGGCATGGTTGTGGTCAGTGTGTTGGTCGGTATACATGTGGGTCAATGAATGAGACAGTTGTGTTTACTGAATGGGATGGTTGTGGTCAGTGAGTGGGGCAACTGTGGTCAGTGAGTGGGGCAACTGTGGACAGTGAATGGGATGGTTGTGGTCAGTTACTGGGGCAATGTGATGTTGTTGTGGTCAGTATGTGGGTCAGTGTATGGGATGGTTGTGGTCAGTATGTGTCTATGTATCAGGTTGTTGGGGGTTTTTTTCTTTCTGTCTGTCTATCGATCAGTTTGCCTATTTTTATTATATTATCTCTGTTATAATTTATAACCTCGTTGCTGTCAATTTCTCTTTACAGGTATCTGTATTGGTTTTGTGATTGTGTGTGTGTGTATGTGCATAAATGTGTGTGTGTCTATGAGTATCAGTACTATCAGTCATGCCAAATATCACCTCCCAGTGTTAATAATGGTGTTGGTGTGTTCTGTTCCAGTCGGCAGGAGATTACTGATGAGGAGAACTATGAAGACTTTGGCGAGATCGAATCTGAAGCTGATGTCTCAGACCAGGGACATTTGTGAGTACGAGTTGAATATGCTTGCTGTTCTTTCATACACTGATCTCTCTCTTTCTCTCTCTTTTTCTTTCTTGTTCTCACTATTTTTCTCTGTCTTTCTTTCTCTGTCACTTTTTCTTCCTCTCCCTCTCACTCAGAAGATTAAGTGGGTGGTTGGTGGGTGCTCTGATTCTGTTGTGGTCTATTCCTTTTTACCTATCAAATATCTATTGTCTTTATCTCTCCTTTTCTTTGTGTGTTCTTCTCTTTAAAACTTTTATCAAAACTAAACTAAGATTTAATGGTCGTGAAATGTTGACTTTTTACTGTGAGAGAAATATCCACCCATTGAAGGAAGTGGGGAAAAAAGGCACTTCTTCTTCTTTTCCTTCTCTTCCTCCTCCTCCTCCTCCTCCTCCTCCTCCTCCTAGCGGCGAATAAAACACAGCCAGACTTTGCAAGTGGACACAGCTTTGTTTGCAGTAAAACTCTTAACTCTTAGCAAACAAAACAGTGCTCTTTACAGTGGTGGGCATACTCTGTAGCAGTGAGATTTGGTTTAATCTTTTCATCATACAATAATGGGCCTGATGTTACTTCTACAAATAAAGATGAACCCGAAGACACTGCATTGTAAGCTTTGGTTTTACTACTTATGCAATAATTGACCTGATACCACCACCAGGTGTAATGATGGACCTCATAATATAACAGTACTATTCAGCAGTGGGCCTTAACAATACTAACATGTACAATGGTGGACGTGATCACAACTACAGTTGCACCTGTTCTTACAGCCGCCTGCATTTAGATAATCACCTGTACAAACCACCATGTCCTTTTTACCCCCTTGCAGTGAAAAAAAACATTAAAATTTTTTATTTTTTAATAAATTTTTGGGGGTTACATTATAATGAGATGTCTAATATGGCCACCTATCGAAGACGCCTCTTTCTCCTGGACAATGGATAGTCATGTTAAACAATTTAGACTCTTTATAATGGTGAGTTTGACATCACTTTATGTTAACTGTGGGCTTAATGTCACTAACATGAAAACAACGATGGACCTGATGTCACTGTTGTACATATATGCAGGTATAATGGTGTGCCTAACATCACTCGCATGTTAAAGGATGAACTTGATATCACTACCATGTGCGACGGAGGTCCTGATGTTAAATTTATCTTATAAGGCGGCAGAGTTGATTTCACTACTGTGTCAAATGGTGGCCCTGATATATATATATCACTTCTCTATACACAACAATGGACCTAATGCCAACATGTGTAATGGTGAGCTTGGTATCACTACAATGTACAGCAGAGGTCTTAATAACTTAATATCACTACCAGGACTTGATGTCACTGCTGGCCTGATGTCGCTTTTCTGTGCATTGGCCAGCTCAACATCACTACTCTGTATACAACAATTGCCCTGGCGTCACGTTTTGTATAAAGATGGGCCTGATGCCAATTCTCTGTATGAAAGTAGATCCAAGAGCGAAACACCTTATCCTCTTAAAAGTATGGAGTGAACTGGATTATCTGTCCTACAACTGACAACCATTTATGTTATTGATCATGTACAAATATTTTATTCAGTTGTATGATTGTGGGTTTCTCTTTTGAAAATGTCAATGGAAGTAGTGCATTATATCTCATGAAATAGGTTTATGATGTGCATATGAGGATGTACATAGCCCATGGTAAATTTGTATGATGTACAACATATTGACCCCATGTAGCTCTATGACTGATGTAACGCGTGTGTCCCTCCTCCAACAGAACGCCATCTACACAACGCAAGAGAGCAGACAGAAGGGACCCACTCTCTCGACATCATAAGAAAACGTGGTAGTCTCTGACATTTTTGGATCTCTCGTTCTTTCATATTTATTCTCCTTTGAGTTTTGGCTGTTTCACATTCTGTTTCGCATTCTCTTGTTCATTTCCTGACAGCATGCTCGGTGTGCCTTCTATAATAGTGCTAGTGTGCCTGTATAGTTTTTGTGTGCCTATATAGTTTTAGTGTGCCTTTGTATTATACAGTGGAACACGGACGACTCAAACTCACCAGGTCCACCTCTTTGCTTTAAATGTCCCATAATTAGAGAACTGCATATTATTGTTATTCTAATGTAACATTAATGACCACTCAAATCTTTACTTTTCCCTTTTTTATAAGTGACAGCTCCTAATTGTGTGCTTTGACACATCAGTAGAAGGACAAGTCGTCCATTTGTTTTCCACCTTAATTCATGCTTTACTTCCCTGATCCCCACACAGTTGACCCTGGGTGAAGAGGCTTTGGAATACATGACCATATGAAGCATATATATATGCTTGCCTTTTCTCTTCTCTTCCAACTCAAATATCTTTTTCGTCTGTCCACATCACAACCTAAAGAATTACGTGATGGGCTGGGCGGAAAGGCTCCATGCTCGCCTCTCAGTCCTCGCCCCACTGTACCACAATACATGGCATCTTCAGAGCAAATTCTCTCAGTTTATTAGTTAGTGTGAGGTCTAAGAGTTGAATCTGTTTCTTGCAAGGCCTGACTTGTAGGTTAATTGGACAGAAGAGTTTGACCAACTCGCAGGTTGTAGGTTTTCTTATTTTGGTCAGTATGGAAACAGGAACAAATTTTCAAATTACTAGTTTTTTGGTTTTAGTTGTGCATTATGTATATATATGGAGTAAACCTTGTGGCCAGGACTTCAGCTGGAGGAATCTGTGTTTTCGAGTTGTTCATGCTAACATTTGCTGTGCTTTATGATGAATATCTGTATGAAAACACACACATATATTAAATTTATATATATATATATATATATATATATATATATATATATATATATATATATATATATATATATATATATATATATATATATATAGCTGTCTCGCTTTACTTAGTGTAGCTCTCTGATAGTGGTGTGTATGTATCATATTTCCCTGGTTTGAGTGTTCGTGTGGTACTAGTAGTGGGGCTTTTTCATCTTATGTCTGGTGCTGTGTGCCTAGAGTAGCCAGTGTCTGTCACCATCCCCTCTGAGGCTGAGGCATGATGCGTCTTCTGTAACTCTGAGGTGGGAGGGGTGTCTAACTATGCATTGTTGTTGTCGCAAGAAAACTGAGTAATTCTGTTTGAGCCTGTTTTTTTAGGATGAGTGAAAAACATTGAAGTTGCTCACTGTTCTTGCAACATCAACAATATATATGTATATATTCCTTTATTTATTGCACATCTATGCTACTGCACATATATATATGTGTCACGACATGATGGAATCAGGCTCTCGTCAATCTTTGGGCATTTCGAGTTATTGGTATCATCTGAAAGCTGATTCATTTGTCTTGCTCCCAATGAAATAATATCCAATTATCTTGATTAGAAGTCAAGACGATTGTGATTGAAGGAGGTGAGGTCGCCTGGTTTCAGTAATGAAATTGGCGAGAAAATGGTTGCCGAAGTTAATAGCTAAAGAGTCCTTGAAAACGTAAAATTGACATATTTTGTACCTTTAATCAATGTTTTCAGTAAAATTCACATGGAAATCTGTTTTTATGTGGATGTACAAGGGGCTGGACCCAAAAAATAGAAATTCAATAAAAATGTCTAAACTGGCGGAAAAATGCCAGTTTCTTAGATTTCTTTATTTTGACGAGCGCCTGATTTCACGACACTGCCTCACATAATTTTACGCTTTTGAAAACTTTGCTTTTTCCTGTGGTTAGCTTGTAGCTGAGGGAAGTGCTGGCTCTTTGTCTGGTGTTATATTTTTCTACTCTCGCCCTAAAGATTTACTTTTCCTCAGAACCCTGACCCACTGAACTTTCTTTCTCTGAAGTGTCACCCTCTCACTCTGCGCTTTCCAACTCGGTGCTCTGAACTGTCATGATCAGACCCCTCAACCCCCAGAAAACGGAACTCTACTCCTTTTAACTGACATGATCAGAACTCCCGACCTACAGAATTCTCACCCTCAGAATTGTCAGGGAGCCCATGTGGACTAGAGGTTAAGGTGTTCGCCTCTCATTCAATTCCTGGGATTGAATCTGAATAGCGCCGAAAAAATGTTCTTCTCTAAAATTGACTCCTTTTACCTCCTTTCCTGCTTTTTAACAATGTTCTGTTGTCTGCTTTCGTCTCCACTTTCTGCCCCCACCTCCTCACCTCCTTTGCCCTCTCCTCTGGGCACCTGACTCGTTTTTCAACGTTTCTACTGCTACTCTTTGGCTCCTTCCTACTGCTGTCTTTCAGCCATACTCCTGATCTTCTGGTTGGAAAGATCTACACTTATCCTTCTCAGAAAAAATCTCGGAGGTCCCATGTGCAAGTTACGCGCGTTAAAGATCCCTTGGTGGTCCAAAATCGATAAGAGTAGGCTTCGGTCGACGCCCGGGCAAAATTCAAAATTTCCTACCACCTGAAAATGTGTAATATGTGCCGCGCACTTGTATGACCTTATGCAGTTGCGAGCGCTATAAAACACTGGCAAAAAAAAATAATTTTATTTCACCTCTCCCTTTCAGTACTGTAACTTTACTATTCTCACACTCACCATAGATATTTTCTTCCACTTATGTCCTGCTCCCTCCTTTCTCATTTTATATCACGTCTAAAGACTACAGAGGGAATTTGACAACTTTTTTTTTTTTCTCCTTTTTTTGTAATGCACTCGAGCACAACATTCATTTTGTGGGCTGTTTTACGGTGTATGAAGAAATAATGTCATACACACAGCTGTGGACTTACTGACATTCACTCTGTGAATTCCCGTAATGTATGGTTTTGTGATGTCAAAGCTGCAAGTTCTTGTGCATTGTGAGTCACACTTTTTGTGACTTTGTGCATGTTAGAGTCTGTATTTTTTGCCCGGTGTATGACCTCGTGCAGATTTGCTTTCATAGTAATGACAAGCAAGCAGTTTTATATGCTGTACATAAATGTGTTATATTATGTGGTACCTGATAACATGATGTCATATAAACTACTTTGTAAATGTAGTGACATCATTCATACACCAGCGATTTGTGTTAAAGAGATGTCTCTTTGTTTCACGTATATTATTATTAAGATGATTTTAAGAAAGTTCAATAATAAAAGGATTCATACAGATGTATGAAATTTATTTGTACAAGTATAATCTAGTTAATTAGTTCTGAAGTGGACATTTTCCTTAAGTACTGAATTTTTTTCGTTTGGAGTGCTGTGGTTAGATTCTTTGCAATGCAGATCGCGGATTTCAGTTCTTTCAAGGGAAAGACATTTTATTCAACTTGCCTGTCTCTGTCATTCCTCTGGGATGTGTCCAACTTTGCCTTGGTTGGATCTTGACAAGCATGGTCAAAGCTGCCCAGCCTCTAAATCATTGAAGCTGTGTTGATGGTGGCATATTTGTAAACGGCCAAGTCTGGATTCTTTGTCAAATTGTCCCATACTCTGCTTCTTTGTTTCTGTCTCTATAACATTTTTTGCTTCATTATTAGATCATGTACAGCTTGCACAAAATGTATATTCTTCCTCTTCATTTTGTTGAGCCTATGTCACTCTAGTCAGCTTTGCTAGGAACAGCTGGTTCTATCAGGGTAAGTTTGAGTGTGGTGTGGGGAGGGCTGCTTGTGTACAGGGCAATGGCCATGTGCCTAGGGTAATATTGCACTGTCCCTCTCCCCTGGCGTGTGACATGAGTGACCAGCGCTAGTTAGGCTAACCCTGGTCAGACATAGGGTGGAGGCTCTCTATACTATATATACTCTGTACCCTAGACTAACATTTTCCCCCCTCTCTCTTTCTCTCTCCCCTTTGTTTCAGCACTAACAGACGCCTCACAACAGCAGCGCTTGCAAGGTATCAACCAACATGTTTTGTCTGATATCAGCAAAAATGATTGAAATTCTAAATTTTTAAAAAAGCTGTTTACTGCAAGGAGAATAACATTTTATGCAAAACAATGTTATGCTGGCGCAGTTTCTGAGTTTTATACAGCTCCTTTTGTTTAATTAACAAAACATGAAAGTATAATTATAGACCCTAACATTAACTTTTTGCTTCTTCATAAAACTATTTATCAAAATATTACTCAAGTTAACAAACAATTTTTTTAGATATCAGCAGTTGAAGAGATTCAATTCCTTAAAAGTTCTGTCGCCTCCTCATAAATACTGTTAAAGATACCACCTGTCTTGTTTGGCATAGAGTCATGTATCACAATTTGGTTTTCCTACGTTACCTATGTCGCCGCAGAATTTCCCTTTTGAGTTTGTCAGTGGTCAAAGTTGTGAGCGATTCAAAGTTGTGAGCGATGTCATGGTTTTAGGGCTATTGCTTACGAACTTGACCGATGCTTCATTCAAAACTTAAGCATTTATTGATACTCTTGGGCACTGGAATGAATTTATCTTCTCCAGGCAGCACTATTTCTTCTATGCTAACCTAGCACTTGTGGTGTAATGATTAGGCTCTTTGCCCTCATACGCAGAAGACATGAGAGTTTGATTTCAGTTTAGGGAAGTCATTTTATTGAAAGTCTCCGTCTTTCCTCTGGAATACTGCATCCCTCTCAGGTAGAGTGGGAACAGACAAGGAGGCTCAAAGCAACCCACTTCTTAAATAATCTAAATTTTATTAATTAATGGGGGTGTAGCTACGTCTATTTATGTCTAATGGGGGACCAATCAATATCCACACACTTTAACACTCAGACACATAAACTTTTTGTACACACATGTGCATACACATATAATCGCCCACTCATGCAAACACATGCAGCCACACTTGCAGGTAACACACTAGCAGTCACGCATGTTACACATGCAAGCACACTCATACATGCATGCACACAATCACACACACACACACACACACACACACACACACACACACACACACACACACACATATGCTCATACACCCATGCTCTTACCCAAATGTTTATTTTTAATCCCCTTCCCCCTCCCAACCCCCTACCTCTACCACCACTGACCCTCTCTTCCCCTCTCCCCTACAGCCAACTGCAGCGTAGTGCTAGGAACTCCCCCTCCAGCACACGCCGCAGCAGCCTGGGCTCTGACGAGATCTTTGACGACATCGACGGCAACTTCCAGGACGTCAACGGACGGGTGAGACTCATTTTGTTATTTTATCTCTCTTTCTCTCTCTCTCTCTCTCTCTTGCTCTCTCTCTTTCTCTCTCTCTTTCTCTCTCTCTTTCTCTCTCTCTCTCTCTCTCTCTCTCTCTCTCTCTCTCTCTCTCTCTCTCTCTCTCTCTCTCTTTCTCTCTCCTTCTCTCACTGTGTTTTGTTTCCCTTACATTTCTTTGTCCTTCACTTTCTCTCTCAGTGACATAAAGTAGATCATATTAACATAACCAAATTGAAAGTGTTTTGTATCTTAGGATGAAGAGGGGCTGTTTCAATGCCTGTGATTTATTAAAGTTAGGTCTTTAATTGTTTGAATGCCCCTTTGAAATCAGTAAGTTTATTTAAGAGATGCGACCTCCAAATTCAATCATTATCTCCAGTAGGACTGTGGCTAATAGGTTTAGAGCCCAATAAACCCAATTTCAAAACACCTTATTGACAATTTAAACCAGGATTATCCTCACAATAGCCCAGCCTTACACCAAGCGAGCTAATGAAGTTTGATGGTATTGTTGTTGTTCCTGTTTTTGCATAGGTTGTTAGTATTGTTTCTCTATTGTCTTAGACTTTATGTACTCTGCCATGTACTGAGCACTCACGAACATCTGCCCACTTTCTATCATCCACCCTCCAAGTCCAAATCGATGCTGATGGTCGGAGGGTGCAGCTAGTAAATCCTACTTTCTTGCTTGTCAATTTGTCTTTCTTTTTCACCCAGTTCTAGAAAACCATTAATTGTGGTAACATGCTTCTTTTTTCTGAAACTAAACTAAACTACGTCCCACCACCCCTTCTACCATTACCCCCTGCCTCCCTTTCCAGTTGCACTTCCTGGAAGAACAGCTTCAGCACCTGACCCAGCTACACACAGAGACCAACTCCAAGCAAGTCAAACTCAAGGACGAGAACTCTGTGCTGGTGCAGAAGTAAGTAGATACATGATCACACACACACACTCATTCATACATATCCATACAGACATATGCATGCATACATACACACTCAAACATATATATATATATTGCTCACACATCACACACACTTAACTGAAATTGTCTGACAATAGAAACCAAGAATCAGATTTTAACAGTGGTTGACTAGAAGTCCTGCACTAAAACGGAAATTTATAAGAGATTTGGTATCCTCAAATCAATACTTTCTGCCTTTCTAAAAATAGAAATAAATTCGAGAACATCGGCATTGGATGTCACCCCTATCAGAAAGCAGGTATGCTGTGCCAAATTTGCAAAGATCAAGCTGGCATTGTCTCGGTGTTTCGAGCAAACACATACCACGTCTCTTCCTATCTCTGTTCCCATTGTTATGACAAAAGCAGACAAAGGAACTTGTCCTTGACTTCATATGCCTCACAGCATGGTTGGACAGGTTCTAAAAGAGACATGGCATGGCATCACTCAAAATAACTAAAAAAGCTGTGTGTAGCGAATCTGCTACAATATTGAGTTATTTTGCGACCACATTACCGTCAGAGTTGCTTCCCTTGATTTTTTTCAGCTCTAATTTTTCACCTAATCTCCTCCCCCCCCGCCCCGCGCCCAATGTGTCGAATATATTGGTCAATCCCTGGCTTGTTTGATTTTAGTTATCTTTGCCTGACTGTATATGGAAACATGTATAGATAAAAGCATAAATAAAAAGCTCATTCTTGCACATACACACACACACACACACACACACACACATACACACACATGCATACACACACAAGTTATGGTCATATAATGTAGCCAAATCTTCCATTTTTCCATTGGAACAAAGCATAGAGTGTGCCAGGCTGATGAAAGCCAGTGCCTTGATTTCCTAGCAAAGCCAGTTTAGATCTGTACAGTCATGCTTAAAAAAAGTTTAAGTCAGTGTAGGCTGCCATAGTTGTCGTATGGTTAGATTATATATTACTTTTCTATCCCAAACCTTACTCTCAATGCCTCATTGTCGAGGGGACACCACTGCAATTAATTCTGGAAAAAAAATTTGTGTGTCCAGATTGTTTCTCTTGATTGGGTGGATTTTCCACAAGTCCCCCTATCTGACATGCCATGATGTAAGTATATGTCTGTCGGTGTGTCACATTTATGTGTGTTTGTGTGCAGGGTACACTACCTGGAGGAACAGCTCCGGGATATGGAAGTACGTGGGGAAGACAGGCTCACAGACGAAAGAAGAAAACACCAGGACTTTATGGTGAGTGCTGTTTATAATATATTATATAACAGTCTAGATAGATGCTGTACACTTTTACACACACATTATAGATCTATATGTCTTTCACATTCAAAGACAGGTACATCTCAGCCAAGATATATTCCCCAATCAAACATGCCTAGTGTTAACTCAATGTCAAGTACAACTCAGCATTATCAGCATCATTTCTGGAGTCTGGTCTGCACTTGTCTTTCTGATCTGATTACCATGTCTGGTTTGTCTGTCTGAAGGTCCAATCTGTCTGTCTCAAGGTCTAATCTGTCTGTCTCAGTTTTACGTCACAGATGGTTGGAGGATGCCTTCTTCTAGGTCCTTCTTATCTTTATTTTATCAATATGCTCTTGTGTACTGAATGTCTGATCTATATGCCTCATCGTCTGATTTGCCTGTCTGACTTTCTCTGTCAATGTGTTATCTACCTGTCCAATCTTTGTTTCAATATATCAGATCTTTTAGTCTTAATTATTTTGGATCATTGTCTGCTTGACCCATCTGTTTCAATATCTGATCTGTCAATTTGATTTCTCTACAACAGTGTCTGGTCTGTTTGTTCCAATGTCAGTTCTGTCTACCTGATCTTACTGTCTCAATTTCTGATCTGCCTGTGTGGTTGTGTTATCTGTTTCCATGTCTAATCCATTTTTCTTAATGTGTCATTTGTCTGTCAGGCTCTATGTCTGGTCTGTCTGTGTTGATGTCTGATTCAATAGTCTGGATTGTTGTATTCCAGGCGCGACACGAGCGAGAAAAGAATGAACAGGTGGACTACATCACACAAAGGTAAAGGTTACTTGATGAATTGTTTGTGTGTGTATCTGTTCTCTATGTGTCCGTGTGTATTCTCTTTTTGTGTGTCTCTTCTATTTTTATATATGGATCTATGTGTTAAAAGTGTATGTATGTGTGTGCGATGCAAAATAGAGAAGTTGCTTCAGATCATATTCTTCCTTGACCTGTCCATGTCCAGTGGCCCATGGAGCATGACTTGGGCACATTAGTTGATCAGTTTGTTCGTAGGGTGAATGTTTCACTGTTGTTGCCCAGTCTCTTCCAAATCAGTCTTTATGAGTGCAGCAAATTTGTAGTCACTTAACATATTTTTTGTCTCATGTGGGTGGTTGGCAGATGCTCTGGTGTGATTTGCTCCTTCTTTCCTATCAAACATCTGTCGTCTTCATCTCCCTTCCTTCTTTTTTGTGTTTGTTTCTCTCTTGTAACACCTAATCTACGGCACTTATATGACCTTATTGTGTTGCAAGTGCCCTAAAACACTTACAAAAACAACTTTTGTCTTATATGCTGTACTATTTACATCAGGCATGGGCAAGCATGTCCAAGTTGAAGGTCCGATGAAGCAATTTCGAATATCTCAGGGGCCAAAGCAGGAGAAATTTGGGTGAAATCTGTTGAAATATCAAGGCTCTCAAAAGTGAGACTAAAACTGACACTATAACATGCAACTCGAGGACATTTCATAATATTATACAATGTTATATCTGTTGCTTTCAGCTGGGCTGGAAACTATCATTTTCATTTTCAAGATGCACAGTTTTGTTTTTATTGATTATCAACTCATCGCAGGCTACATTCATTACTAATTAGTAGGTCGACTTGCAGGCCGGAGTGAAATTGCTCAGGGGCCAGACTGACATTGCTCACTGGTCAGATCTGGTCTACGGGCTGTAGTTTGCCCATGCCTGATCTACATGTATGTCGCGTGACATAACGTCTATGCCACCTGTTCTACCATCTACATCCCTTTATGTACCCCCTGAGTCATATGTCTTACTGTCTTTGTCACCTGACTTACCATCTTCATCGCATTGTGTACCCTCTGACTCACTTGACCTACCATCTGTGTCGCATGACCTAACACCAGTGTATGTAATGCAATGAATAAGGATTTCACGTTGCTTGCAAAAGGTTCGAGTTCTATTCCCATAGCCATTAGATGAAGATATTATTTCTTATGGGAAGTGTCCCGCACACAGGTGGTTTTGAGAACTGCCAGCTTCCTGAATGATATAAATCTTTTTCTGTGAGGTATAGATCTTAATGTCATTCATCACAGTCATAACACTAACACTTTTTATATGGTAAAAGTTTCTTGTCACTTGTTTCATATCCTTAATATAGCGCAGTTTGTTTCGTATACGAATAATCCAATTATTGAGACATATTTACTTTTGCTCAAGTTATAAAGTTGACAAAGCTAAGTAATTATGTTTTTGTTTTTTTAAGTTTTCCCAAAACAACAAAAATGACTTAAGCAATTATGTTATGACTATGAAAATATATTAATTTGCTCTAACATGATTTTTTATGTATATCAAATCAGCACCTACTGTCAGTGTCACATAACTGGTCACCTCTGTCCCCAGACTAAACCGCATCGAGCGGGAGTATGAGGAGCTCAAGGAGGAAGCTCCGAGGTTAAAGACAGAGATGGCCAAACTCCGCACAGTGAGTCACAGCATGTCCATCTGTCTGTCTGTCTGTCTGTCTGTCTGTCTGTCTGTCAGTTTGTCCGTCTGTCTGTCTGTCTATCTGTCTGTATGATGTGTTCTTCATAAGCATTTAACTGAAGGTGAGTGTGTACACGCCTCCCCAAATCTGTTACTGTAGGGAAGAGCTCTTTAACACCATAGTCACTACCATCAAGTGTACTCATCTCCAGGCTGTACTACCTTTGTTACCAGTGATGATAACGCCCTCTTTGACTTGTGCTTTCAAACAAAACTGTCATGCCTTCTGTATCTAATACCCAGTGTCAATTGCAGAAAATTTTGTCAAATCCCTTTTTGAAATGGAATTATACATTTTAAGGGGCGGCACTGGCTAGTGCCCACAAGATCAGATTGACTTCTGCTTTGCTTCATCAAATTTGACCACAAGGTCCATTAGGGCCTATCACATTCTGTGCATAAACAAAAGATCTGACCGCACATTCAATGAACAGAAGTAATCAAGTAATCCCATTCTTTGTTTGCTTGCTGGGCACATCTTTGTTTGAACTAAAAGTATGCCAACTTTTGTGATACATGCTCTTTTTCTTTGAAAGTAAAGTAGGCAGTCATGGTCTGGTCAGATCATCCAGTCACAGGATAGCTGGTGACTAAGGTGTTAATAGGTTCAGTATTTTCACTTGATAAACAAAAGGTGACACCATGAGGGTGAAAAAGAACAAGATTACTCTTAGACATGGATCAGATGAGGAAGTGAATTCTTAGTCAGTTAGGAAAAAGTACAAGTCAGGTGAACTAGTTCCCTTAGACAAGGCCGAGATGTGTGGAAAAACACGTTTAGACAAAGGTGTGACAAATTGTTGCCTCAGATCTATTTTGTCCAAAGTGCACTTAAGTATAGAGTCCACTGTGGACAAAATAGTTCAAAGGCAACGAAATGTTCTCTTAGATCTGTGTGAGATAAGACAAGTTTTATGTAGTCTTAAACAAGAGTGAGGCAGTGTAGACAAGTCAACTGTTTAGTATAAGACTCCGCCATACGTCACTTTTCAAAATGACATATATGGGAGTGTTACACTAAGCAGTCAAAATGTATTCCTAGACGAGGGTGAGGTAGGACCATTGTATAAATACACACACATGCACACACAAACAAACGTGTTTGTAATTGTGTTTTTTGTTTTTTTATATCTCTGACCACATGTAAGTGGGTGGTTGGCGGGTTCTCTGATGTGGTTTGCTCCTTCTTTCCTATCAAATATCTTTTGTCCTGATCTCTCCTCCTTCTTTTTTATGTTTGTTACTCTCTTGTAACACCTCTAATCTTCGGCACTTATATGACCTTATTGTGTTGCAAGTGCCGTAAAACTCTTACTAAAAATAATACTGACAACATGTATGTGTCTATGTGTGTGGTGCAGGAGAAGATGGACATCCAGGAGCGGCTGCTGGAGAGACAGGAGAACTACAACGCTCTCTATGAGGAGCATGAGAAACTCAAAGTAGATTACCACAAGCAGGAGACGCTACACCAGAAGGAGAGGCATGCTACTGGACAGGTAGGTCTCTCTCTCCCTCTCTCTCTCTCTCTCTCCCTCTCTCTCAAACTCTTTTTCTCTTTCTCTTTCTCTCTCTTTCTCTCTCTGTTTTTCTCGCTCTCTGTTTATCTCACTCTCTCTTTCTCTCTCTCTCTCCCTCCCTACCTCCCCTCCAACTCTCCTCTCTCTCTCTCTCTCTCTCTGTCTCTCTCTCTCTCTCTCTCTCTCTCTCACTCCCTCTCTCTCTCTCTCTCTCTCTCTCTCTCTCCCCCCCCTCTCTCTCTCTCTCTCTCTCTCTCTCTCTCTCTCTCTCTCTCTCTCTCACAGACACACACACACACTGACCATTACCTCATTTCCCAGTATATTTACCACTGACCTGACATATGTACGTCTTTCTGTGTGTCAGCCTTTGTGTGGTCTGTGGGTGCCACTGGTAGGTCCTTTTTTCTCTCCCTTATGCCTGTTTCTCTTGTTCTGAATGACCTTTATTGTGCTAATGGGAACCTCTTTACTGTACAAACTTAACTTATGTATGATTTGAGGGCACCAGCGGTAGATCCTACACTGTCTATTTTTTCCTTGTCCCAGCACTAAATATCCATTATGGATTTGATGGACTTCTCTTTATTTAAACTAAACGATGAGTGAGTGGTCTATATTTCGCTATAAAAGAAATACAAAGTTCTATCAGACATTTTTGGCTGTTTTGAACTACTAAGACCATGAGATCAGAAACCAAATGGTCTATCTACTATAAAAGTCTTAAGATTATTCGGAGTCGTTATCAAGATGTTCAAAGAATTACATTAGCAAAATCTTGACTTGTTGTGAAACTCAAAACTTTTGATGTGAAATACCTCAAAACTAGGTATGAACAGGTAATACTTTGTAATTCTAAGGTAGGGGCCTAGCAATTTGTGTCTATTAGTGTTTGGATAATGGGAGAGAAATGTCAATGTGACCTAATAGATGTTCTCAACTATCACCTTTAGCTCCTCGATGAAATGGGGAAAGAGTTGGAAGATTTACGTCGCTACAAGATCGATGTGGAGGCTGGGACACGGTCACCCAGCGGCAGTATCTCGGAGCTGCCTGGGCGTTACCACGACCTGCAGAATGAAATCCACAAACTGAAGGAGGTCAGTCCCCATGTGTTGGCAGAGTCGCCACAGTCAGTGTGTGTGTTTCTGTCTGTGTGCATGTGTCTGTGTGTGCCTCTTTCTGTCTTTGATGTGGGAGGTTGTCATGTCTTAGAGTTAAGGGAGAGAACTATATTTTAGAACATGGGGAGATAATTTTTCCTCAGAGCTGTGTGGAGAATTAATTGTTTTGGGACAAAAGGTTGCGATTTTACATAAGATCTAAGGGATATGATTATTTTTCTAAAATCCTGAGAGATTTGTGTCTTTTAGTGGAAGTAATTTTGTCTTGGAACTAAGGTAGGGTTATTTTTTATAAAAATAAAGTTTAAAAAATAGTTTCTTAAAGACAAGGGATTTGACTTTTCCTTAAAACTAGGGGAGACAATTATGGTGTTGCTCTGAGAGAAGGAATTATGTCACAGAACTAGTGGAGGGGGTCTGAGTTTAGCAATGAAACTATGAAGGGACTTCTCTGTCTTCTTACATTTTTTATCTACACACTTGCGCTCACACACATGCATACTAGCACAAATTATTTGACATAATTACCCCAATTTACAGGGTTGGTTTTCTCTTCTTTTTTTTTTAAATTCGCCTTGGGTGACATTTCACAGCTTTGAGTGAAAAGGAATATGGCAGTATAGTCCATCACCATGTAGTTCTCAGCTTATGTAACACATTATAGTCACCAAATTTTTTCCATGGCCTTTGTTTGAAGAGTTTTGTTAAGTTTCTAGTTAGTTTGTGTGTGGGGCATGATCGCAGCTGAGAGATTTTGTTCTGTACACAATGGTTGGCAGTGGAAGTCTCTGTGGTAGTTGTAATACTAATACCCTTAACTCTTTGGCTTGAGCAGGGCTGTCTAACGTTATAGTTATAACACAAAAGATGTCTGAAATGTCGAGGATCAGTGCTACATTGCGGCGTTATATGACATGAATGTGCCAGTGCTATATAATAACATTTCATGTCCAAGAACACTGACTATGTCAGTGTGTTTCTGTAATGTCATGTGACACAAATTTTAATGTGTCAGTGCTGTCAAATGTTAAGTGATACTGAATGTCAGTGACATCTAATGTTGTTTGCCACAAATGTGTCAGTGATATTTATGTCATATGGCACAAAATAATATGTCTGTGTTGTATCATTTCATGTGGCATTGTTGACACAAAATATGTCACTGCTGTCTGGTGCTATGTCTAGCATTTTTTGACACTGACGATATCCATGCCAGCTGAAGCATGAGTTTGCAAATATTTTAAAAATATTATTTTATTGTAAACGGACATTTGTTGTCTGTTGTTGTGACCTTGACCCTTACCGCATCTCCATGTTTTTATTGCGGCTGGGGTTCCAGGTCATGTGGTCTGAGTGGCGGGATCTATGGCAGGTTTGTACCCCCAACTGTTTGGCTCCAGGGGGACAAAAACACTTTTTACAGGGTACTTGTTGAGCAAAGGTTTCTTTTAAACTTCAGTTGATGCCCTATGCTTGAAGAATGGTACAATCTGTTAAACAACATACACTTTACTAGCATAGCACTGATAGAATAAGCTTTAGAATAGCAACTGTTTTCTGTTTCCTGCAACATAGTGAAGTGTCTGATGTGTCTTCTAAAATTAGAAAAGCATTTGAAAGTCTTCACCACCACGCATTGTCTCTTGACATGTCTTTTAGCTTTACCATAAAAATTAAATACTGCAGACTAGTTCACTGTCTCAAAAAAAAAAAGTGTCCTCAATAATCTAGAAATAAACTTATTCCCGCACATGCTGTCTGACCACATTCATGATGGCAAATCACTCAGCTAGAAACTTGGCTTGAATCTACCTTGAACCTGCCTTTTTAAATTATCTAAATTATATCAGTGTGGGTGTAAAGCATTTACACTCAATCTCTGCTGAATAAAAGTCTTTTCATTGTGTGCTCTAACCAAGTGTGAATAAATCGACACTCCCCGATCCACCCCATCCCTACCCCTCGCAGAAGTTCCGCCAACTATACATACATGCATAATACTGTAATAGTCCCTGGTACCCCTCACTCAACAAGTACCCTGTAAAGAAGGTTTTCGCTCCCGGTTCCTAGGCTGTCTGTCTCTGGAGCTTTGTATGACTGTTCTAGTTGGACTGTTTAGCTGTCCCAGCACTGCTGTTTTATTGTTTAGCTGCCTTCGAATGGCTTTTGATTCCACCCCCACTCTATTTCTGGTTCACCCACCACCGGGACTTATCTGCTTGCTTTAGTTGAAGCATGTTCGCATGTTGACTTTTTCTCTAGATGTCCGTGGGTTTGTTTCCTGGTTTAAAAAAAGAAAATGTTCTTCTTTTGGTTTTTGTTTACATTGCTGTTGTAGTATGGGTTGTTTCTTTTTGTCAGGGTTTTCTGTGAACACTTCCTTTCCACATTGTCGTTATTATTGTCCTCATCATTTTCATTGTTATTTTTGTTTTTATCCTTGTTCTTTCAATCAGTATTGTTGTTTCAGTTATGATGATTATTATTATTAATATTGTTATTATTGTAATTATTGTTGTTTTGATTACTACTTTTGTTTTATTATTATTGTTAATGTTATTATTTGTTGTTATCATTGCCATCATTGTTGTTTCTTCTATATCTTCACATTTCCCCCCTTCACCCTCTCTGATTAATGAAGTTGTCGCCTAGATTTATAGTAGCAATTTTCTGCCTCTGTATGTGTCGTTTGTTTGGGACAGCCAGAATATGCTCATATATTGATATGTTTGCAGATTATGGGTGGGTATGTAAAATTAATTGATGGATGGAAAGATGGATGTGTGTGCACATTATGGGTTTAATACACTTTTGTATGTAGAGATGTGTGTGTGTGTGTGTGTGTGTGTGTGTGTGTGCACGTGCATGTGTGCGTGCGTGTGCATGTGTATGAATAATGTGTGTGTGTGATAAAGGATGGATGTGTTACTTTCGATGTAGGCAGGTGGTTGGAGGGCACCATTGATAGGTTATACTGACTTTTCTCTGTTGTTTCTGTCTGCCTTGCTTCTTTCAAGCACTATATGACTGTGTTATTATGTCAGTGTGCTTCTCTATATGTATGTATGTCTGTATGCTGTATATCTGTGCATGCGGATATGTTTGTGGCTGCACCACGACGACCAACATATTGTTTGTTTATTATGCATTCTGATCTCGAGGTTTATGCTCAGTTATTGCCCTTTGCCCGAGCTCTCTCTCTCTCTCTCTCTCTCTCTCTCTCTCTCTCTCTCTCTCTCTCTCTCTCTCTCTCTCTCTCTCTCTCTCTCTCTCTCTCTCTCTCTCTCTCTCTCTCTCTCTCTCTCTCTCTCTTTGTCTCTCTGTCTCTCTCTCTCTCTCTCTCTCTCTCTCTCTCTCACACACACACACACACACACACACACACACACACACACATGATTTACGCCCCCATAGACACATTGCAAATCAATCTAAGGGGGCAGGCTGCTTGGACACCGCCTGACAAGGCCAGCCTGGGCTGAGAGGGACATAACGTCCCGTGCCCAGCAGACAGGAGGACCTATTCTTATTGTGTTTTTTAATTTTTATTGTCGTTGAAAGAAGATCCCCACAAGGAAATCGAACTCACACTTTCTGCGTGCGAAGGCGAAACACCTTAACGTAACACCACAGACCCTGATCCGTATGTCTGTATGATGCGTTAATTTTGTGTCGTATGTGTGAGGGAGACATAATTTGGTCGTGAGTGGTTGGTTGAAGGGAGCAATTGTTAGTTTATATTCCTTTACTTTCCAATCTATCGTCACTGTCTGTCTGTTCTGTTTTTTCCAAGCTTTAAACGACCTCAATCGCGTCGATATGATTCTTATTACTGAATGGGTGGTTTGTCAACTGGTAAATCCTACTTCAGTGGGTGGTTGACGGGTGTTCTGGTGTGGTTTGCTCTTTCTTTCCTACCAAACATCTATTGTCCTGATCTCTCATCCTTCTTTTTTGTTTGTTTGTTACTCTCTTGTTACACCTTTAATCTTCGGCACTTATATGACCTTATTGCGTTGCAAGTGCCGTAAAACTCTTACTAAAACTAAAAACTAACTAATCTTACTTCATATCTTTCCTTCTGCTCTTTTTGTCTGTTTTGCTTTTTCCCAGCTGTAAATGATCGTTATCATATTATATTGATGTACTTCTGTTGACTCAGACTAAACATTGGTCTGATGAATGTGCTCGAGGGTGGTTGGAAGGCGACACTGGTAGTTCCCTCCCACTCCTTTTCTTTCCTTCTTTCCCTTCTGTTGTTTCTGGGTTTTTCCCACCTCTCTTTTATGCTTCTTATTACTCAAATCAAACTAAAACGGAATGTGGACAGTTTGACGTGGGTAGTCTTGTGGTTAGGCTACAGGATTGGTAATCAATTTTTGTTACTTCACCAAATTGTGAATGGGCACCTTGCCATAGACAGCGAAACAGATTTTGTCAGTACGTTAAAGTTTTAGCGCCTGTAAAATAACAGCTTGCACTGTATGCTTCCTGGGAAGCAGGGAATATTTCTGGGTGTTTCAGGGTCTGCCGAGGTAATGCTATTTGTAAAGCGCGCAGAGCATGACGTAGAGTATGGATATGCGCGATATAAATGTCGAATCTGTTCTGGTGGCCACCTGTCCAAGATAATCACCTATACAAACGACTACTTTCCTCCCCCTACCCCCGGCTGTTTTTTTTTGGGTTTTTTTTTTGGGGGGGGGGTTCAATATTATAACGACTGCGCCCAAGATGTCCACTTTTAATACAGCCACTTTTCTCCTCGACAATGGGTAGCTGTCTTGGACAATTTCGACTGTACTTATGATTACCATAAACGGACCTGGCTCCTCTGAATGGGACTTACACGCCCAGGCAGAGCATCCCAGACGCACGCACACGTCCACACCCGTGTGGCAACAGCTGTCTCTAGACCCGTCCGTGTTGTCCACCACTCACGGAAAAATGTTAATCCCGCGAGGAATGTCTCGGTCCCCATGAGATGGTGCTCGCTCGTGAGTCGCACGTCGATACTCCAGTTCGATAGCCCGGGGGACTGAGTCTTCTGTCATTCAAATATTTGCAAGAGTACGAGTGCGACATCTGTCTTTTATTTTGACAGTGTGTGTGTGACTCCCGTCCATCTGTGTCTACTCACTCACGGCACCCCCTCCCCCCCATCCCAGCCCCCGTTTGGTTTAATCTGTCAAACCGTATATACACGTTTACATAGTTAGAAATTACCTTTCCCTGGCTCGTGGATGATTGGCGTGCGCTCTGGTGTGGTATTCTTTCTTTCCTATTAAATATCTATCGTTGTTATCTCTGCTTTTTTGTATGTTACTCTAGTAACACGTGTAATCTCCTCACTTATGACTTAAACGTGTTTCAAGTGCCATGAAATTCTTTCTAAAACGAAACTTTCCTGCTTCCATCCGTCCAGTCATATCCACAGTTTTTAACTTTCCGTAGATTGTGTCCTATATCCTCAACCACCCACTTGTATACCCCATAACCCCCCCCCCCCCAGCTCAACATTTCCCTCTTTCACCCGCCAATATACTCACCCCTCTCCCCCTCACATCAATTAGCCCTTAGTCACCCGCCCATATACTCACCGAATATACCTACTCAAGTGCCATTATGGTACACCATCACCTCACACACCCACGCACACCACTGTACATATATGCCTTCCCCAACAAACCCATATTAGGTATGGTCTCATCCACCTGTATACCAGGCCCATTCACACGCTTAAGGGGTGCAATCTTGGTATTTTTTTATTTAAAAATTTTTAATTAAAATTTTATTTTTTTCTAAAAACCCTCCATACTCAACCTCCTACCTAGATTATATGTCTGCTCCCACCCACCTGCGTACCAATCCCAAACCAACTGCACCCTACCACTTGCCACCACCCAACCACCTACCCATATATTATGCCTCCCCCTCCCCCCTTTCCCAGCCACCTGTATACCCCATCCTTTTTTTTTTCATCTCCGAGAAGTACTTCTCATGAGATCCAGACGTTTACGATATGACTGTAAGCTCCGATGACGCTAACATATCACATTGGGCTCAGATGTCTCCTATATGTCTCTTGGTTCAGATTTCACCGATATGTTAAGGGGCTGAGATGTCACCGATATGTCACTGAATTCAGATGATGAGCATAGAAACATGTGTTGATTCTTGATGGCATATCCAGAGAAAGAGAGAGGGGGGGAGGGAAAGAGAGAGGGAGAGAGAGAGACGTCATGAAGGGGGGTGGTAGGCTCACTGATGCAAGTCTATAAATTGTAGTCGCGTATTATTGCATATTATGTTTGAGTATATATGGGAGGAGGACTGTTGTTGCTGAGAAAGGCACTTGTGGTTGGTATGTAGCACCACCGTGAAGGCACGATACGCTCGTGCGCAAACGC